CTGCTTTGGAGCACCCGGCCCGCACACACACCACAAGCGGAGGCTTTTCTTCGCTCCCAAAAATCAGCTTGGTTTGGCTACCGAGAGCTGGGACCTTCAAGTGACCACACGAGCACCCCTCAATGGCATCCCCACAAGTGCCAAAACCCCCCAAAAAAACCTACAATCCCAATCCCTTCTCCCCAGGGCCTGCCTCAGTTTCCCAGCCCACCACTCCCGAGACATGAACAGGGCCAGGGGCAGAAGCACGGCCCCGAGGTGCAACCTTGAAACTTTTATTGTCAATCCCAATAAAAAAAAAAAAAGAAAAAAACACATTTTGTGCTTACGAGTGGTCTGTTTGAACAGGATTATTTTTTAACTCCACGTTAAACAAGATTTCAAAGGAGGAGAGCAGCGTTTGGGCTCAATTTGAACTCTTCCCTGCCCTTTCTCCTACGGGAGCTGTCGTTCCCTGTTTATTTCAGAAAACACCCTCCATTTTGAAACGCTGCCTTCCCAAAATAAAAACTCAGGTTGTTTCGCTGACTTTTCTCTGCTTTCTTCTGAGCAAAAACACTCTCAGAAAAGGCAAGTTCCCACAGCCAGTTTCCATTACAACGAGAGGGCATTTTCCGAGGCTAAATTGCATCTGTCTGAAAATCTTCAAGCAGTTTGAGCCGGCTGGCATGTGTGGGGAGATCCTTCTGTAGGGCTTTTTAAATCCTTATTTGCAATATTATTTTGTCTGCTTCGCGCTGCCTTGATGTTGCGAGCAGCCTTTGGAGAGACACAACCACTCCTCCCTCCTCCCCTGTCCTCCCTCCAGGCACACGCTTTGCTTTGAGGAGGAGGAGAAGAGAGAAATAAAACAAGAGACAAGCAAAGAGGGGGGAAAACGTCAGAAAGCTGCTTTTTTGTGTGCGTGTCAAACGTTCAAAGTTATCCCGGAGTCTAGGCTTTAAACGTAATAAAATACAGCTACTCCTGACAAAATCAATTAAAATAAAACCACCCAGGCTGCCTCCCTCATGCTTTGTAGTTGGGCTGACTTGGGAGAGCCCACCTGGGCCTTTTAGGAAGCAATTACGGGGCTGCCGGGTCGGATCCTGCTCCGCCAAGCACCCCTCTGCCTGGCAGCACCGCGGGGAAAGACCCAGCTCCGAGGGAAGCGACGACGGCTGCGACACGGGGAGAGGCGCTGGGGCTGGGAGCCAGCCATCAGGATTAATTAGAGCCCAATTAGGTTACCCAGCTCCCAGGGAACAGCCCTGCAAGAGCCGGCGCTTCGCCGGCAGCGATTCGAGGCGGCTTTGGTTACACCAGGCTGGTGGCAGGGACCCGCTTGGCATCGCCACCACCTCCTGCTGCCCCAGCACCTCTGGCAGCAGGGGCTCAGGACGTTTAGGACATTGAGAGCAGGAATCATTCCATGATTTCAGGCTATCAAGAGCCTCGGGGGAACCCCCTGCACGCCCCGAGGCGCCAGGATGCTCAGAGCACCAAGCACACTGCGACACAGGGCACGGCCCAAAACCCAAACCCCTGCCCCATGGTGCCGACAGCTCCGCTGTTTGTTTTTCTTAACCATCAAGATTTAAAAAAAAAGGGGAAAAAAAAGGATAAAAAGATATTCAGCCGTGCAGCAGAACTCGGGCATATGGGAATCCACCCCTGCTCCCAGAAAACAATACTGCAACAAAAAGGTTTTTAACCCGTTTCTTAATAAATATTTATTTTCGCCTTCGAGATGTGGGTGGGACGAAGGCAGGATGTATTTTCCAGTGAAATGTTTTGATCCCCCCCCTTGAATTTTTTTTCCCCCCCAACAGGAGCAAAAATGCCAATAATAATATTTGTAATGAATAACTAAAATTCTGCGGCTTTCTCCCCCGCTCTCTTTTAAATAAATAAAATGCCCTAAACATGAGGAGTACAAACGCGCTCTCAAACACAGCAGGACGAGGCGGAGTAAGCTCGCGGACCCTCCGAGGATTTATTTAACTGTCACAGCCGAGATCCTGATAAAGACGAAAATTCCTTCCCAGCTTGTTTTGCATGTGTCAGCTGGGAGAGGTCGAGCCCTGCTCCGTGCTTCAGGGAGAGACCAGAAAGCGGCCGTCCTCGCCCTCGGGGACCCTCTGAGCCTCGCTCAGCACCCTGCAGGCATGGGGCAGGGGATTCCTCCCACCCGTACGGGATGCTCATGCAAGCCACGGTGCTTTCTGCATCCTTCCTATTCTTTTCTCCCTGCGGATTTGCTCACCTGCCATAAATTCCCACAGCTAAAAGGAGCAGGATCGGGGATGGCACCGAGGTCTTGGCACAGACACCCCCGATTTTACGCAGCACCCGGGCTTCCCCCAGCTACACCAGGGTGAAGGAAGGAAGCTGAGCCAGGGAGGGCTCCCCCTGCCCATCACAGGATCCCTTTCTTTCTTGGCAACAGGGGCAGAGGAGAAGGAAGCAATAGTGGGATTGTGCAGAGCCACAGGGTGACGGCTCCCAGCGCGGGAAGCACCCAGGGACGCGCCGTCCCCAACACAGCCTCTGCCTGGCATCTGCCACCCGCTCCTGAGACCAGCAGGAAAATGAGATACTACTATTAAAAGTGCCCGGCGCTGGCCACGTTTCCACCCATGACATCAGCGGGGTTATCTGAGTCTAACCAAGGGCAGGGCTTGGCCGGGATCCTCCACGCGGTTATCCTTTTTAGGCCAAACTGAGCTGAGATTTTGACGGGGCAGCACCGTTTTGCTCCAGTTCCCCATCTCAGGCCTGTGCCAGCGTGCAGGAACACACCACCAGCACGAGCCCGGAGATCCCCCACTCTGTCCCATCTTGCACACCCCATCTCCCAGCCGGGTTGGGAAAACCTCCGGTGCCCTGCGGAGCCAGGAGCGGGTCCGAGCCACCCTCCTGAAGGCAGCGGGGCCCCGCCAGCTCCTGGCACCCTCGCGAGCTGCCTGCCTGCTGCCAGGCCCTGCCTGCCTCCCGTGCTCGAAGCAGCGCCAATATCCCCCCCCTCCCAAACCCTGCAGGATCCCCCATTTTCCCAACCAAAGCCGGATTTTTATTTATTTATCTTTTTTTATAAGCAACGCGTGACCAAAGGCCAGCGGATAAAGTTTGAGCGTGGCTCCTGCAGCAGCACAAACACGCAGCAGACGCAGGCCCCCATCGTGCACACTTCAATCAGCTCCCACGAGCTGCTGAATTCTCTCCCAGGCTGGTAGTGCAAAGCTGAGCCCCCCCAGCTGTCCTGGGGCAGCTGCCTGGGTGCTCCCCCCCCCCCCCTCCCCAGCAGCTCGGTGCGCTCGGTTGCCTCCCCGCTCCCCACCGGGTGCACGCACACACCGCTAGGTGAGCAGACAAATCGCTGGGTTTTCATCTGCGAGGATCCCTCCCCGAGACAGCAGCAAGGTGACACACGCTCCCCCCCCTCGCCTCCCCCGGCAAAGCCAGCATGACTAAGAGCACAGAGCAAGAGCCAGCATCCGCGGCGCACCAGCGCTCAGGTGCGGAAGAAAAGGCGAGCAGATAGGCAGGGCCCCATCCTGCCCCCACCAGCACAGGCTCAGGCTCTCTATTCCACCAGAGCATGGAAATTGTTAAGGCAGCCACCCCCCCCAGCACTCCTGTGTGGCCACAGACAGGCCATTTCTGCTCAGGGGGTGTGTTTGGGATCATTCCAGGCACCTGCATTTGACCCACCCCAAACCTGCCTGACCCTAACAGCAGGACTGCAGGTGAGATGCTTTGAGCCCCAACAACTTTGGATAAGTCAACACAGCACCATTTCCCTGCCTCACTGCCAGACTGCCCCTGCCCCTACAGCCACAATTTGGGGGGGGGACACAGCTCCCCACCAGCCTGCAGGGCCAGGCTCTCCCTGCCGAAGCCTCCAACGTGCCAGGAGGGCAGGGGCCAGCCCCTGGTTCCATGTGTTTATGCTGCGCTTGGAAAGGAACAACTAAAATTGCAATTCTTCAGAGGGAAGGAAAAAAACAACAACCCAAAACAAAAACCAACCACAAGCTAACAAAGCTCGAGCACAGATTTAAAGCCCAGAGGAGCCCCACTGCGGGCCAGGGGGGTGTCAGGACAGTGGCTGGGGGTCTCGGGCTGAGCAGTGGCAGAAGGGGCAGGATCTGCTCCTCTTCCTCCTCGCCAAGGGCTTGGCGCCAGGCGACTTCGCGAAAACTTTCTTCTTCCCCCTCCCCGAGCAGCGAGCTTTGCAATCTCACTTCTCCCAAAAAGCCAGGCGCGGGGAGGCATTCGCCCCTGCAAGCCACGACTTGACTCAAGTCACCCAAACGATGGCAAACTCCGGCTGGAAACAGGGTTCAAAATGTTAAACTAAAAAAAAAAAAAGCAGGGAAAAAATAGGAAAAAATAAAGAAAAATGCGCAGGGTCCCAAATGCGCCAGCAGCGAGGGGCGATGCGGGCACAGCCCCGGGACCCCACGGGTGCTGCCCCCAGCCCGGCTGCGCACCCCAGGGAGAAAAGCGGGGCTCGGGAGGGGATAATAGCGAGAAAATCTGGGAGAAAGGAGTTAAAAAAAAAAAAAAAAACCAAGGCAGCGAGCTGCCAGCCCCCCCCCCCCCAGCAGCAGCCCGGGGCGGTGGGGAGGGGGCTGCCCCGCTCGCGGTGCGCGCTGCCCCGTTTGAAAATCCCGCTTGCGCCCTGCGCCCCTCGCCCAGCCCGGCTCGGCTCGGCTCCGGGCCCGCCGCCCCCCGGCTGCGCCTCACCAAAAACAACAAAAAAAAAAAAATGCATTTAAAAAAAAAAATAATTAAATAAGGATGAGAACAAAACAAACGAGCAGCAAGCACGCCGCGCAGGCAAGCGCGCAGCCCCGCAGCTGACACCGGAGGGGAAGCGGAGGAGGGGGCAGCTCGGTCTCTTTTTCTTTAATGTTTTTATTTTTTTTATTTTTTATTTTTTAAGTTCCCTCCTCCCCCCCACCCCCCCTTCGCCCCGCGGTAGGAATGGAGGAGCTTTTCGGCCCCAAACTCACCCAGCGGCAGGAAGTGTTTGGTGTCCATCGCTGGTGCCTAACTCATGCCAAGGGGCTTGGTGGAAAACACACAGCGCAGGGGCGGGGAGCGAAATCAAAGCGAAAGGGGGAAGGGAGGGAGGGGAGAGGAGGGAGGAAAAAAAAAAAAAAAGAGGAAAAAAAAAAAAAGAAAAAAAACACCCAAGGGAGGAGGAGGAGGAGGAGGGGGAAGAGGAGGAGGAAGGCTCCAGCCCCGCGCCGGAGGCAGGGCGCGCAGACGAGGCGGCGGCGAAGCGAGTTTGGTGCAAAGTCCCAACAATGTAACTCCGCGGCACGGCTCGGCACGGCTCGGATCAGCTCGGCACGGAACGGCTCGGATCGGCTCAGCACAGCTCGGCTCCGAGCCGGGGCCCGCGCAGGGGGGAGCGAGCGCCGCGACCGCCCCGCAGCGCCCGCCCCGCGCAGCGCAGCGCCGCCCCGCGCCGGGGGGGTCGGGGGCGAGGGACGGGAAAATAAAGTGGTGGGAGGGGAGAAAAAAGAAAAATAAGGGAGGGGGGGGTGCCGGGGAGATTGGGGGAGAAGGGAAATTAAAGGAGAAAGGGGTTTGGGGAGGGGACGAGGAGGGATGGGGGGAAGGAAAAAGGGAGTGGGGAAGGGAAAAAAAAGTGGTGGGGAAAGGTGAAGTGGAAGGAAAATGGAAGTGTGGGGGGGAAGGAAATAATGGAGTGATAGGGAAAAAGGGATGTGGGGAGGAAAGGGAAAAAAATGAGAAGGGAAGGGAGGGAAAAGTTAAAAGGAAAAGATGGGGGAAAGGAAAAGGGGTGTGGGGAAGGGAAAAAAAGCAGTGGGGGGAAAGAAAAATGGATGTGGGGGAAAAGGAAATAATGAAAAGTGATAGGAAAAGGAGAAAAAGGGATTTAGGGGATAAAGAAGTGAAGGGGAAAAAATGTGGGGGAATGGAAAAAAAGTGATGAGATAAAAAGCGGATAAAAGGAATGTGGGAGGAAAAGGAAAAAAGTGATGAAAAAATGAAAAGGATGTGGAAGAAAAAAGTGATGGGAAAGATGAAAAATAAAAGGGGATGTGGAAAAAGGGGGAAAAGTGATGCTCAGAAAAGGGAAAAATTAAAAGGAAAAGTGATGTGGGGAAAAGGAAAACTTAAAAGTGAGAGAGGGGGAAAAGTTTAAGAAGTGACATGGAAAAGAACTTAAAAGAAAAAGTGATGTGGAAAAAAATATTAAAAACAGGTGATGTAGGGGAAAAAAAAGGAAATAAATTTAAAAAGTGATGTGGAGGAAATGAAAAAATAAAGTGATGTGGGAAAAGGAATAAATATAAAAAAAAGGAGGGCAGTGCCTTCAGGTGCTGCTGGGTGATCTCAGGGGTCCTGGCAGGGGGGCACTGCACAGCCACCGGGTGGGGGGCCATGGCCACCCCCTGCCTCCACCCTCCCTCAATGGTCCTGGGCCTTTCAAGGTGGCACATTGGTGACTCCATGGACCCAACCACCCCTCCGACATGAAGCATCACAAACACCGTAGGGCCCTTCGCTCTTGCTGGCCACAGCACCCCTAGTGATAGTGGCACAGTTGCACGGGACACCTTGGTGACACCAGGGTCGGGGGCTCAGCTGGGGGGCTCAATGTGCCCCCACCATCCCACAGGGCCAGGCTCCCCGCAGGCTGCTGGTGTGGCACATGCAGAAATCACCGTGACACACGCTCACACTGCTGCCACCAAGCATTATCTCCAGCCGTGGAGCGCTTCCGAGCCTCCTACCCACCCCGATTTATCCTTTAATTGGCAAAGCTTCCCAGGCCGTAAATATTAGCACTCTAGCACCTCCTCCTATAACAACAGCCTCTTATCTCACACTCAGTGCCATGTCCCAGTCTATCACCCACAAGCACTTATCAGTTTCCCTCATACCTACTACTGTAACACCTAAATCCACGTAGGGAGGCCCAAGGAAGGCCCAAACACCCAATTTCTCCCAAATCCAGCCCATTCTACACACATCTGCCCTGCCTTTCCTCCTGGGTAGGCCGCTCGATGAGGGGTGCCCAGCAGGCCCCCCAAGTGAGAGTGCCACAATTCGTCAGCGTTAATTAATACAAGGACAAGAAAAATGCCAAAACGACCCCTCTCGCATCAGAGGCGAGCGGCTGCGAACCCACACGCGGAGCTGCAGAAGTTAAAACAAAATAAAACATCTCAAATCCTTTTTATCCTCTGCTCCTGTAATTTCAGCATGTCCAAACAGATTTCGGAGTGTGTTTATAACTGGTAACTTCGTTTGCTCCCGGGCTGGGACCTTAAATGCCAAGTTTCATCTCCAAGTCAGTTTTTATGGCGGAGTTGCTTTAACTCCTGCGAGAAAAGGCCCAAAAATAGGCAGGTGAGGACACCGATGAGAGCTGGGGCTGGTCACAGAAGCAGGGACAAAACCTAAGAGAGGGCTGGCATGGCAAAAATCACAGACCTCGTGGCTACCTGCACACAAAACACCGACAATCAACCCACAGAAATCATTCCCCTGAAACACGCTGAGGCTGGTGGCTGTGTCTGATAAGGGAAAGCACATCTGGGGGCAGTGCTCCTCCCAGGCCTCGCCAGGGCAGCTTCAAGCTGCCGCCTGCCTCCGTCACACAAATGCCATTTGAGTCATCGGTGCCGTAACAGCCTAAGGTAAGTGTGGGCCTTTACGGCTTTGATCGAGCCTGCAGCAAGCAGACGGGCTGCCAGCCGATGGAAACAGCTCCTGCTGCCACGTAGCACAAGGGGGGACCCAGCCCCAAAGGCCAGGATCCCCCAAAACACCTCGGTGGAGACCCACAGCAGGTATCAGGATCGTCAGACCCAGGGCTGGAAATCCACTTTTTGTAGGTTCTGACACAAGAAATTGCCGTAACTGGGACATTTCATGCTCCTCTCCCATCGAGCTGTTTAGAGCAAATTAAATTTCTCCCTAACCAGCCTGTAACAGTCCGCGTTAGATGTGGATCGAAATGTTAATTGCAGTGACAACAGGTCTGATCCTGCAGCCCTTATTTGGGTAAAACCTCCCACAGAAGCCAAAGGAATTTTGCCCCAGAGAAGACAGCTGGATGCAGTCCCACGTTTCCAGTCTCTTGAAGATGCCAGAAGGTAGCAAAGATATTTCTGTGATGTTATGAACCTTTTCTTTCCCTTTTCCCCCCCTACCCCACCTCCCCTCGATTCTTTAATGCCCTATTAATTTAATAAGTTCCGCCAGGCTGCCTGATGCTGTGCTTGACCTCAGCTTTGCATTTCCTAGCAAAGGACTCGGATCATCAAGGTGAGGGGGGTTAGGATAAATTTTGTAGGTCTCCAGCTTCTGCTCAGCAAAGGGATGCTTGAAGGTCCCATACTCTCTCAGCAAACTGTTTGGGGGATCCCATTCTCCCTGCCCTTGGGTAACACAAATACCTTTTAGCCTGGGATCTGAAGGCAGGCAGGTGTATGAGGGGGTGATTTGGGGTCTGCCTGCCCTCATCCACACCACCTGCAATCCCACCACCCAGCTGGCTTTGACCAAGAGGGACACAACATTCCTGCATCACAAATCAGGGAGGGATCAGCTTCTCCCCCCAGCCCCACACTGTTCCTTCCACACTTGCGTGAGATATTTGGGGCCAAGGGACCTCAGTGCTTGTGGGCATCAGTAGGAGGCAGATGTGGAGTTGGTCTGTGGGGTATGAGACCTCAGACTACACTCAGGTGGGAACTTGGCATCAGGCCCAGGCCCAGAATTTGGAAATCACAGCTTTACTTTTGAGCAGTTTCAGTTTGCCTTGTCCATAACCCAAAATTATCTGATGGGAGAACAGCAAAACCTGCTGTAGTCCTCGACTGCTTCATGCCCTCCTGCACTTAGGGGGAAAGATAGTAAAATAAAATAACAGTATTTCCCTCCCTGGCTGTCTTTTATTTCAGATTAAAGATAAAATATGAAGTCTGAGTATACGAATGTCCATCCCTAGCCCAGCCAGCAAGCTCCTCCATTTCTCAGACCCATCTTTGAGGACCCCAATGGCTCCAGAAGGTGAGCCTCCACTCCCAGGGCAGGCCCTGCACATGCAAACCAGCAAAATCTCAAAATGACAAGGCATTTCTTTAAGTGCTGCAGATTCAAATCCACTGCTTTGTGTTGTGTGTGTGTTGTTTTTTTTTTCCCTTTCCCTCCCAGCAGCATTTAACAGGCTGATGATGTTTGTTTATGAAGTGAAACGCACATGATTTATTTGATTTGCTGGAGCTGGAGAGCCGCATTCCCACGCCAAGGACAGGCAGACACCGCGTTTGTCCCCCCTTTAGGAGGCTGCTCAGATAAAATAAAGCATTGCACAGTCAGACACACCGCACTGTGCTTTCCGTGCTTCAGAGCAGGACATTAAATGCTTATTAGAGACCTGTTAACTTCCGAGCCATAACACTGCATTTGGTCTTGTCCATCCCTGCATACAGAGCAAGCCTTAATAAAATGCTCACTACTTTGCAAAAAGACTCGAGATTGAAAGCCTGGTTCTGTCTCTTACAACACCTGGAGATCCCCATTTCATCTCCTCACCCCAACCAGGGCCCAACTACCAAGGAAGCCCAAGAATGCATTAACTGATGGAAGATGAAATACAGTACATGAACACAGACTTACAGCTCCTCAGGGAGAGCACATCGAGCATCACCCATCCAACAAATGCAACATACACCAAATTTGAACCTGATGCAGACCAGCAGTACATCAACCAGGTGCTGGGCACCAGCTGAGGCTCATCCTGCCCTGCTAGCCCAGGCAGGAGCAGCTCCAGGACCATCCCTCAGCTCCTGACCACCACCCTCATCACAGATAATCCCAATAACCCACACCAGAGCTTGGAGATGTGACCCAGACACTCACTCCAGCCTTCTCTAGCCTTTTCCCCCATCCCTGCATACAGAGCACTTTGCAAACGAAGTGTGAAGATAATATGCTTTATCATAGGCATTTATTACTGATTGTTGTATAAATCTCCCTCCATTCCCATACATATACATAAGGTGTGTATAAATATGCAGCCACTATCTGGCAGTACCCAGAGTCTTTTTGACGATGTCAGTATAGCCCCCATAAAGATAGTGGGAAATGATTCATAATATTTATATGACAGACATGATATGAACTGTAATAGCCTGTTGGGATCGAGAATATCCATAGGTCTCTGTCAGCCACAAATGTGATTTAAATATTATATATGTGGCAACTGTAGCATTAGTAATATGATAGCTGTTATTGATAGTGGTCATAAAATGCAGTAGTTTTGCACTGAAGAATGTGAAAAATAATCTAGTGGTTTTCCTAATGGTCTTCCCAGCAATGTACTGAAAGGAAGTGTACTTTCAATGCCTCTTTTTTCAATGCCTCATTCTCTCCTCCCCCTCCACCCAAAATTGCCATTGAGCTCTATCAGATTACTGCTCGGGCCATATTTCATTCTGCTGATGTTGGGTGGGGGAATCTCCTCCTCCTGTGGGGCAGGGGAGGGCACAGGGACCCCATGAGGCTGCTGCAGGATGCCCACGGTGCTGGTGCTTCCCCTGAAGCCAGTGCCAGGCTGAGAGACCTCAGCACCCAAGCAAAGACCTCCTGCCACTACTAGCCCAAGGCAAAGTGCTCCAGCCCTGCTGGCCACCAGCCTGCCTTCATCTCCACCCCAACCTTTTCTGAGGGCAAACAAAAGGGGAAAATCTGCTCACACCAGTCAGTGACCATCACAACCATTAGCTCCAGCAGCTCTGCTTTGCCTCCATTAGCAGAATTAAGGAAGGATGAGGCTTACCTGGGTGGGGAGCCCAGCTCCGGGTGGCTGCAGCACTCGTGGTCCTGCCTGGTGGGGTCTGCAGGGGGCTTGGAGAGCACAGCCCCCACCCCTCAACACTCACAGCCCTGGGGGCCCTCCAGCATCACCTCCTGCCTGCAGGCAAGCTGCTTTTCAAGGTTTTCTAATGTCTAATGGGGATCAGGTGCTGCAGGAGGAGCTCAGGAGTTAACTCCCGGCACCACACCTGCTCGCACCAGTGAGGTGCCAGTCACATCCCATCACATCCCAGAGAATAAATCAAGGAAATGCCACGTCCTCTGAAAAAGCCAAACTGCAGGCAAAGCAGTGATCAGCTCCCTGGTTTGTAGCCTTAAAAAATAAATTAATTAGAGTTATGTTGCTGTCATTGTGGAGGAAGCCTCTTGTGATCCATCCCCGAGACAGGCTTTCCTTGCTCCCTAGTGGGTGGGAAAGGCCGTGCTGCAGGCTGCCCCATCACACTCCCGTCTTTGGGGTTTTCATTCCCCGGGATTATCTGTGAATATTTTAAAGCAAACAGGATGTGCACGCTTCAATTTAACCCAAAGCAACAGACTCTTGCTAGAAAGAAGTGGGCCCGAGGAAGGGAGATGTTGCTCCGGATGGAGCAGGAGGAGGGCTGCAACTCACCCTGGCCTCTGCTCCTCCTCGCTCCTCTGTGGATTTCCAACTTGGACAATAATAAAGTGCATTTTCTAGCAGAGAGCAAAAGTGTATTGGAAAGTGAGGGTCTGGGGGTGATTTAACGGCAGTTTTCTGCACCATTTGTGTTGCAAAGGGCCTGATCTTCCTCTTCCTCACCCTGGTGGGAGCCAGGCGTTGCTCCAGGGAAAACCGTGGGCCTGTTTCTGCTGTCGTTTACACTGACATAAATCAGGAATTTACTCAGTTGAAATAAGTGGAACTGCACCAGTATAAAACCAGTGTGAGATCAGAATTACAGTGTCATAAAAGCAGCATGAGATTAGAATCAGCCTCAGTATATTACAGGGATGGTTTGAGGAAAGCCTAGGGAAATTAGTAATATTGGAATTGGAAAAAGAATTTAAAAAAAAAAAGGCATGTGATTTCCTGATGATTTGGGAAATCAAATCCTCAAGGCCAGCACTCGGGTTCCTTCCTCCTGCTGAGATGCCTGTACTGGTGAGCAGCTCTGCCAGAATGGTGCTCCTTTATTATTCCTCTGCTGGGTGTAGCAGCTGTGAGACGCTTGGTATGAAGATGCCGTATAAAAATAAATGGAATTGAATTAGGGAAACAACTGAAGTCATTTCTTCTCTGTCCTCACATTAATCCATTTAGGCTGATTCTTTGGGTGCTCCAAGGGGGATTTGCATTATGGCCCTGTCGGTATCCACAAGCCCATCCTCTCCTCTGAAATGAGCCCTGGCACCTCCTAATTTGATGTCTTTTTATTATCCTCACCCTTCCTGCATGGAGACTTTAAGGGGATTTCTGCAGGACAGCCGGCTTCCCCGGCAGCTTGGATTAAGCTGCAATTTGCTCCAAATCGCAACGAGTGACAAGGTCCTAATGAGATTTTGGGGACGTGAATTCAGGGAAGGGAAAACAAATGCTGTCTTCGAGATGAAATAACGACGCGTAAGGCCCGGGGTATAACGAGGAGCATATCAGTGGCAATTTGGTTTGTTAATGGAGCCTGTGCGTCGATATGAGGCGGCGAGCGCGCTCAGAGCAGTCACAGCGATTCCGGCATCACTGACCTGGCAGAGGCTGGGACAGCATCCCAACCCCATGCGGGTTCTGCTGCCCTAAAATTCTTCCTCGTGTTTCCAGGAGGATGAATCCCAGAAAGTCCCAGGGCCCGTGCTGTAAGTAGGTCAGCCCGGATGCTCCTGGCCGCGCTCTCGCATGGCCCTGCGGTTTCCGTGCCCTGCGGCGAGGATGCAGAGCGAGCAGTCAGCAGCACGAGGAGGGGGGCAAACCGTTGCACCCCCCCTGCAGGCACTGTGGAGGGGATTTGGTGGCACAAATGGTTGTAGAAATGTGGGCAGGGATGGCCCAGGCTCCTGCCATGATACCCATGGGCTCCCCATCAGGCTGAGCGTGCTGAGGGACACTTGGAGAGCTGCTCTGGGCTATATCCCTGCTTTCCTCCTGCTGAGCCTGTCAGGGCACACTGGGGTGTTCCCACAAACAAGATGACTTTGCCAAGTCTTCCTTGCATTATCCCAGGGAAATCAACATCTCTACCTGAAGGGCACAAACAGTTTGCCCTTTGGCAATGGCGAGGTGCCCTGCTTGTCTTAGCTTGGGGATAGCACTGCTTGGGGACTGGCTGCGGGCACTGCTGCTGCTTTTCCTCTTCTGTGTTGGTAAAGACCAGAGGCCTCTCTGAATTATTTGTGAAGAGGTAGGAAACCCCACAGTCATGCTCAGAGCAGGGTAGCCCCAAGGTAGAAGGTCCCATCCTGCCGGGTCTGCTGCAAGGAATGAAATGTGGCTCTGCCCCGCTGCATGAGCCGCACAGTTCTCCTCCTCCTCCTCCTCCTCTGCAGTCCAGGGGTTCCTCTGATCCAGCTCCGATTTCAGCTAGCTGGAATTTCCCTGCAGAAAAAAAAAAAAAACTCCAGCAGAAAATTCCCACTTGGCTCGCGTGGTGCCTGCTGTCACATCCCACTGTCACCCTGCATCGTTCCCTGGGGGGCTGTGGTTTGCTTTCACAGGGCGATGCCCACCCAGACCATTTTCACCCCCCTCCTCAGCACCAGGGGCTCCAGGATGCGGCCGGGGTTTCAGATCCCTGGCTGCTGACACTGCACAGCTCGACAAGAGAGATGCATTGCCATTCCTCTCCCAAAATCCTGCAGGATCAGGTGCAGGATCAGTCCCCAGCGGTGCTGAGGAGCCCTGGGTGCTTCAATGCCACCGCTGCGGGTGCCGAGCAGCGCAGGTAACATCCTCTCTTGGCTGTCTGGGCACATCTGTTCTTAATGCAGCTCCAAGAGGCTTTGGATACCACCTTCGTGCACACCGCAGAAATGCAGTTAATCCAGCCACCGTGTTCTAGGAAATATTATCATCTTAAGTAAAATTTAAGAAATTGAGGAAATTACAAAAGTACAAATCCAGAGGTAACGGCATCCATACAAGGTCCTGCGTGAGCGGCTGGCAGGAGCACTCGCTGAGATTCACCAGCACTCCCTGCTTCTTTTGTAATATTTCTGTTCCTTTTTAAGGTTGTATTTGATTCCGGATTTTCCCCACCTGGCACTATCCTTGGTGTTGGAGTTGCTCCAGACTTGTCCTGGGCTTTTAGAAACAAAGCAGATTTTACAACTGGGAAAGATGCCGTGCAGCTCTTCTCACGTCGCTGTGGAGGACATGGGAAGGCAATAACCAGGACAGTTTTATTTCCCTTGACCCCTTTTTCTCAAGGATCAATAGCTGCAGAGGTTTTTGCCAGACGAGCCCCCATGAAGTATACCTTGGCTTCAAATCGGATCTCCCCAAGCTGAGGACTGGCTCGTGCTCAGTGCCTCGGCAGGCAGTGAGTCTGGAGCTGGTTTAGACGTGGTTCTAGGCTTTGTACAGCTCCAGGTGGCTCTGACTGAAAGGCTGGTTTTGGCACTGACAGTGGGTGATCGTTCCCCAGCACAGCCCAAACACCTCTGCGGCACGGGCAGCACCCCCGGTGCGGTGCCAGCCCTCGGGGCTCCACAGGAGCCCAGCATCTTGTACCCATCTCCCTGATTTATCCAACATTTCGCTGACGCTCCAGTTTCTCCATCAAGTGTTCCAGCTTCAGTAGGAGATGACGTTAAATAAAAGCACTTTGAAAGCCAGGGGGGAAAAAAGAAGCGATGGGACCAGAGTGGGAAACGCACCCATGTGCGGAGCGAGCCCCAGGCGCAGGGCAGCTGGCAGAGCTTGGCAGCACCCAGTTGCACCCATGGGCCCACTACTGCCACTGCTCCCCAAAGCCAATATTTGTTCCTTTGGGTGTACACACTTGGTTTACAGCACTGACAGGGCTTTTTACTGACTTACCAACAAGCGGAGCCCTGTGTGCAGCCAATCCGGGGCAATGGGAGATGCTGGGCTTGCTGCGGAAACAAAATACAAAATAAAACATTATTACAAATAATAATGCTGCTTGGGAGCTGCACTACACGAGAGCTCAGCATTGTGATTATTGCTTCATTACAGGGCTCTCTCCTGCTAAATCTTTTCTGTTATTAAAGCCGGCTCAATAGGGTCCTGATCCCCGGCTGAAACATCAATATTACTAATAAATAGAAATAACAAGTGAGGTAAAGGGCCAGACAAGAATGACCTGCTTTATGAATTAATGTAGTGAAATCTGGCCGTTTTCCTATACCCTTTATATACTACAGGCACACATACGAACTTCATACCCATTTATTGGACATCAGTGCACTGAAATAAAGCCCGAGCAGTGCTGTAACCTAATTACCGACTTGCTACAAGGTGCCAGGGAAAAAGTCGGGAGCACACATTGCACACACCCCTGTGGCATTCAGAAACACTCGCTGTTTCTCTCACCGGGTGAAATCACCTCTTTCAGCCAGGCTTGTTCTCAAAGATCCCCTCCCGGCCCCGAAGTGGAGAGCGGAGCAAGCGGCTGCAGGGTGCGAGGTGCTCCGGATGGAGCCGGGGCTCCTCACTAGGGGAATTTTGGCTCCATTTTCAGCTCCCCGCGTGGTGTTTGGGCTTTGTTAAGGAGCAGGACAGGGGGGATTGTGGATGGGAGACGGGCAATTCGACCCATCTCTGCCTGAGGGTGAGCGTATTCCCCATGCACACGAGTGCATGTGCCCGTGGCTATATATAGCCCTCTGTATTTGTCTCTATATGTACGTATGCAATATATCCCTCTGTATTTGTCTCTATATGTACATATACAATATATCTTTCTACATGTGTCTCTGTGTGTACACACACAATATATCTCTCTGGATTTGTCTCTGTATGTACCTACACACATATCCAGACAGACACGGAGAGGGACCACGTGCGCTTCCCTGTCCACCCGTAATTCTGCCCTGTGATTTTGGTATCCCGGGGGATTATTATAGGGAGGGGTGAAGCCATCGTGGCCATGCTGTGCTATGTGATATGGCACCATCGTCACAGCAATGGGGTACCCAGGCACAGCGGGCTGGATCCGGCTCCCAGGGATGCCAGCTGCACCGGCTTTACACCACCGTGGCAGCAAGAGGGGTCCGGCCCCTTCTCCCAGACAGAGACACGGCGTTGCCTCCATAATTTATAAGCTATTCAAAATTTATCGCTGCCAACAAACTCCGACTACGGAAGGGTTTTAAATCCTTGTTAAGTATTAAAGTGGAAATACCCGTGCGAACACAGCGGGCGGGCAGCGGGGAGGGGGCAGCCGGGTGCCCCCTGCCCACCCACCACCGAGCCTGAGCAGTGCCCCCACACACAGGACCCGCTGGGATTCCTTTTATTTTTTTATCCCATCCTTTTATCTTTATTTTTTCCTTTTTTTTTTCCTTTCTATTCCCCTTCCTCCTCTGCCATTTTGCCAGGCAAGGGAGCCCCGGGTCAGGAGCAGGTCGGGGGCCAGCCGTGCCCCCCCCTGCTGCCCCCTCCCCAGGACAGAGCCCCCCGGGCTGACAGAGCCATACAAGCCCTTGTCACCCGCTGGTGACGAATCGGCCCGGGCTGACACCGAGGGATGGAGGAGGCTCTTCCCGTGCTGCTGTAGGGACGAATCGGGCCCCGGGGGGCTGAGGGGTGCGGGTGGTGGCACTGGGCAGGACAGCGAGGTGGGGCTCAGGTGGCCGAGCCAGGGACACCCTGAGCCGGGGATGGTGTTTGGGGTCCGGGTGGGGGCAAATTTAATAAGTCCTACGGCGGCCTCCTCCCAGGAGCTCGACTTAATGGGATGCCAGAGACGACAGGGTTGCCTCTATCTGCTCATTCCCCGGGCCTGGGGAACCATCCATCTTGCTCTAACCCTATTTTAAAAAAATATAAAAGGAAAGAAAAGGAGGGGGTGGGGGAGAAAGAAAAATGATAAATCTGTTCAGGGCTTTTGTTTGCCTGTGATTCCTGTAAAGGACAAAAAAAATTGAAATAAAAGCCAGGCCCATTTTTCCCCCGCTCGGTGTTGCCATGGGATAGAAAGCCCCCCGTTCTCAGGAGTGCAGTGCCTTTGGGGAGGGAAGAAAAAAAAAAAAAAACTCATTAACGTTATGAGTTGCATCTGTTCCTCGGGTCTGGGTCACTTCCAGCCCGCCAGCTCTCCCGTTGCCTGCCTCCCCCCTCTGCGTGCATTCCCATCGCTAGCTCCTTTGGCCACCCGTGCCCTCAGCAAGCAAAGGGGAGCCCTGCACCCCCGCTCAGGCTCCCTATACCACAGCCACCGTGCTGTTTGCTGGGCAGGAGCAAGATGCGAGGGCTGTGAGCATCTCTGCAAGGGGAGATGTTCATCCCAGCTTGTGCCTGTGCTGGCAGGGGAGGGAATTCACGTTTTGGTGACACCGTGGGCAGCAGGAGCTGGAGGAGATGATGCAGGACGCCTGTCCTCGCTATCTCCTGCTGAGTCCACAGTGCAAACCCTTCTCCGAGCTCCCTCACCGTGCACTCCAGGCTCCTGGGCTCTCCCCACTTCACAGCAAGAGACAATACAGCCAGAAGCAGGGCAGGGAGCAGGGGATTTTCTTACCCGGCGGTGACTCCGATCTACCCAGCTCTCGTTTCCAGGCTATTTATAAATGAAGCTCCAGGCTCGTGGTGTGCGCCGAGCCCCAGCACCGCGTGCACGGCTTCCCCCAGCCGCTGCTGGAAGAGCTTTTGGGATGGATCCTGTGCCATGCCCAGCTGTGCCGTGCCATGCCAAGCTGTGCCGTGCCATGCCACACCTGTGTCACCCTGACTAGGGACACCCTCGGCAAGGCCAGGGACTCAGCATGGGCTTGCAACCATGGGGAGGCATCCACCTGGTGCTCACGGCGCCGTCGAATTCTTCACTGGGAAGCCAAGCAGCAGCTGTGCCTGCAAGCCACGAGGAGAAGCACGCACAAAAAGCCTGTTCTGCACACTCTGGGGATCATTGGGTAACACCGAGGCTCGCAGGTATCGGTTTGCTGGATTATGTGCAAAAGGTTTCACGGTCTTTATTATAAACACTATAAATAGGTTTGTGGTTCTTCTTTGAGTTGGAGAACAAAAGGCTGTTTCATTATCATTAAACTTGCGTTTGAGCTGCTCTGTGACTGGGTGTCTGGCTTTTTATTGCAAGCCAGGACTTTCAAAAGCTCCTTAAATGTTAATGTCACCTTTAAAACAACAGCGGTGAGGCCTTTGATCAGCAGAGCCAGTCACTTCTTGCATCTGAAGTCAGAACCAGCCACTGACTGATCTCGGGATTTTAATATTTCCCCCTTCCCCTGCTGACCCCCGACAGCAGGAGAGAAGCTGGGCTTTGATCACACCTGATTTTTTAGCCATCGCAAGGACCTGTGGCTTAAAGCAGACATTCAGAGCTGGGTTTCCACGGCTCAATGCAATGGAGGAGAGCAGGGCACGGCTGCCCCAGCCAGCCAGCACACAGCTGGTCCTGCAAGTCACCCGGCCACGCTGTCCCTGCAACAGGTTTGGGGACAGGAGAGGGGTCCTGTCCACCCCAGGTATTGTGGACGTGCAAAATCCCCCAGGAGATAGGGTCTGGGCCACCAGCAGCATCCCCAAGTCTTCTCTGCAGATGCATCCCTGCAACTTAGAGGCCAGGGATGGATAGGACCACCTCAAAACCTTTCCATCCTCATGGCACCAGCATTTCCCTTCACCAAAAATCCACACCGAGACTTGCTCAGCATCACCCACTGCCCTTGTCCCCGTCCCCTCTGCTCTTTGACTCCGGCTGCCCTGTGCATGCCGACGCTCCTGGCCACCACCTCTGCTGTGCCTGCGTTTGTCGAGCCGGGGAAAGGGTCACACACACTGCTCCGAGAGCAGGAGGGAGCCCAGCGCCCGAGGAAAGCACATTTCAGGTTCGATTAATGCCATCCACAGCAAAGGCGGGTGTGCGGGTGCCGGTTCGGGTACAAGGATATGTTTGCAGAGATAAGTGTGAGTGTAACCTGATGACACAAGTTGCCTGCTTTCAAATGTCAGGCAAAGTTCATGCAGCCCATGTGAAACGAGTTAAAATTTAACAGAAATCTGCAAAGTGTTGCGTTGTAATTGAATCCATGATGCGGACGGGAAGCGTGTTCAGACACATCCCAAATTTGCCCGAACCGTAATATTCTCCTTGAAAAAGGCCGATTTCAGGGAGGCTGCTGCTGCTAGATGCGTGTGCACCCCCCCTCCTTCCCCTTTCTGAGGGAGAAAGCTCGGCCTGAAAACTTCTGAGTCATTCTGCATCGGTTTTGATGTGTCAAAATCGCTTTAAAAATCCCAGCCGAAGCAGCAGCAAGGAGAGCTCAGCTCAGGCACACGCAGACGAATGCAAAGAGCTGCAAAGCTGCAGCACGCCAGGCTCCACGCCGTGCCCAGCGCTCCTCTCAGCTGCACCCTCACCCTCGGGAGGAAAAAGGCTTTTTGGCTTCTCGACGGGGCGATGTGGCTTTGTGTTGTTTTTCCTCTTTGCTGGCTGCTAATTCTCCCTTTGTCCTGGCGTGGTGGGGTGCAAGCTGCTTAGGGCTTTAGAAATGGAAAGTTGCTCTCTTGGTTTTGTGCTCCATTTCCATGGCGGTGGCAGCAAGCTCCAAGCTCAGCCCCGCTCCCGCTGCAGCCCTCCCTGGTCCTGGGGCCAAGCAGGCAGCGGAGGCCAGATGGGAGCAGCACGTCCCACCCTTGGGCTCACACGGGGTGCCAAGACCCTCTCTTAATTGCTCCCCCTTCTCTTAATTGGGCAGATTTTTTTTCTTTTTTTTTTTTTTCTCCCTTTTTCCTATACCTTGGGAGCCAAATCCAGCTCAGGTCCTGCGGCACAGACCTGAGCACCAGCCACAGAAACCGCCACAGCACAGCAAGGTGGAGGGCACAGGAGTGATGAGCACCGTGCTCCGGCTCACCTGGAGGTTTTTTCCCCTGTATTTTCCATTTAGGGAGTTTGTTGCACCACCATATTGACAGAATTGAGAAGAAAAAATAAGTTAATGCCTGTCGCAGGCTGGACTAACCGAAGGCAGCAGTGGCACGGCCACTGGGAGCCGGGTTTGGGAAGCAGCTGCTCCCTCCCCAGCACCACTCTGCCCACACAGCATCCCCATGGGATGGCTCTGGGTTATCCCCTGCCCCTCACGGGCAGATTAAACCTCGGTGCTCCCTTTTGATGCTGATGGTGTGCTTCTTGCTGTCCCTGCCGTCTCCCCGCGGGGCGCAGGAGGCTCGCAGGAAAGCTGGAGGTACGACAGACCCTTGTGCGCTCTACTCTGCAAGGGCTTTTCATAAGAGAGCTAAAAACAAATTTAGCACTTAATGCTCTGAAGAGTAAACACTTAAATGCCCTATCATCTGCCCAAGTGCTTTGTTTATTATTCAGGGAAGCCAAACTGAAGCCGTTTTCCATGGAGATGTAGTACCTCCTTCAGATTAGCCTGCCTAATTAGATCCTGGTTGCACGGCGCTTTGCTCGCCAAGAGGTGCTGATGAGGGGAGGGCGAAAAACTGCTCCCAGGTGCTGAGCCCTGGCTCTGGCTGCCTGGGCACCCCGGGGTGCTGGGCACCATTTGGGGACAGCCTGGGAGGACAGGGAGGCTGAGCATCCCCAGCTCTGGGCCAGCCCTGGAGGGGACGGGGACAATCCCCAGCCACCAGCCGAGGATGCCTGCAGGTACAAACTGGACCTCAGGCAAGGGGTGGAAGCTTTCCATGAGCTATTTGTCCCTGGGCTTAAAATGAGGAGGGAAGAAGCCGGTCGAGGTACTAAGCAGTGGCAATTGCCACTCTTGAATGGTGGCTGCCGTGAGCGGTACTCCCCGAAGCATAAAAACTCCGGCCTCCCATTTATAAGCCATTAAAGCTGTTACATCCCATAATGGACATCCTCAGGTGAAGGAGACAAACAACGGAAAATGCTGAAACGCGGCCGCCAAGCTAGACACAATAACAGGCACGGCACAAGAAGGATATGACACGGGGAGACAAACAGGAGCAGAATTTATGTCACCGGAGATTACAAGGGCATCGTATATCACCGACGGAGACGGGCTGCGAGCACCAGCGCGAGGAAAGGCCTAACCTTTCGGGGAAAAACCTCCGAGCAACAACAACGGGCAAGGAAAAGAGCAGAGCCACGTCCCTCGGCAGCGTGTGTGCTTGGAGGGCTCGGGAGCAAAGGGAAGGAGATGCAAAAATCACGCGTGGCCACCTGTGCGGTGTGATAACACTCACTGATCCCGGGCTTTTAATGGCAAAAAGGATGGGAAGTGTTTAATGAGGAGCAGGCATCCGTGCCGTGACATGATGGTTGCTTGGGTTGGCACTCCCTGGTCAGAAAGTGAGTGTTTTGGCCCCAAAATGTTAACCATGTTGTTTTTTTCCATGCCCATCACATGCTGCCACCCCAACACCCCAAAGCACTGAGCAGCTCCATAGGCAGGCTTTGGCTGAAGGGTTTGGCGAGGGGAAGGCAAAGGCTGAACACATCTAACCCCAAAACCTGCCACGAATCCTAGCCTACCTGATGAGAAGGGTCACGAGCAATCGAGAACAGGTCCATCTCATGGCAGCCCACTTGGGAATGACTCTAAAAATGCCATCTGCCCCTGCTGAGCTAGTCTGGAGAGGAAGGTTTTATCAACAGCTCATGGGGATTGGCAGTTCCTGCATCATCTGTCTCACGTGCATCCGAAAATCCCGTAAATAGCCCTGACAATTCAGGAGCAGCAGAAGGGTGTTGCCCTTTGGTTGGATTTTGTGTGATGTGAGTACTTTGGACTTTGTTTAATGCCACAACGAACTGCCGGCTGCTTGTCTTCCAGCCCAGGACCTTATCTTATTGTTTGGAATGAATATTTGCATTCGTGCGATGTCTGCCCTGCTGCACGGCACCCCAGCCCAGCACCTCGGAACTGCTCCTGCAGGAATCCAAAGCCATCAGGAGAGGCTGGATATGGCCATTGCCATGCCATAGGCAGGCAAAGGGAGGAAATCCAAGCAATCTTTGCCTGTGGTCACAAAACAAGCCCAGTTTCCAATCATTTCTGGTGCAGAAATGATTGGAAACCTCTTCGCCCTCTTGCTCCGCTGTGCCTGCCGTGGAAGGCAGAGCCCCAGCAGCAGCCCGTGATGGAACGGGATTTAAGCATCAACCTAAAGCAGGGTGACTGCTGGAGAAACAGAGGAGTCCTGCAGGACTCGTCTGCTGGGCTGTAAGTCACCCGCAACTCCCAGCTCTCATTATTTCACTCCCAGCCAGTACACCAGCAGTCGTACTTCAGAGCGAAAACTGTCCTACTTTCAAAAAACGAAATGCAAGACGTGCTTCAGATCCCTATTGTCATGTACGTGTGCTTCAAGTCACATAGACCTCCCCCGGTTTGGAAGATTTCCCTCCGCTCCAGGCTTAGAGGAGCTGCACCAGGCACTTGCCCCAGAGCCATAAATTGCCAGCGAGGCAGGGGCAAGATTACTTCACTGCTGGATGAACTCACCGCTGGGGCATTTCGGCCTTTTGTTAAGTGCTCCCCTCCACAGGCTGGCTCTGTCACCGGCTCCGTGGGGATGGGACACCCTCAACCTCGGCATCACCAATAAAAAATGCACACAGCTCTCCCTCTTCGCCCAGAGGCCAGCGGCACGGTGAAGCCCCCGTCCTTCCCCCTCGCACGCGGAGATATTGCATTCATTCATCTCAGGGGCCGCAGCGTGCTCGCAGCCTGACAATATATTATGGTGATGTAGGTCTTCATTTCGCGCTGTCAGGGACTAGAACAACTGTATCTATTACCCGGGGGGGGCTAACGGGGCAGCTTTCCCTGAGCTCGGTGACCTGAGCCCAGGGGAATGTCACCAGGGGTCCCCTGCCCCTGTCCCCTGCCCCTGCCTGCGTGGCGCCAGGAGGAAGGGGCAGCAGCTGGTGGTCCTGGCATGGGATGGGCGCAGGGAGGCAGGAGATGGATGGCTCCAAGTGCTGCGAGCACAATGAAGCAATTCCACCCAGCGGAGGCTCATCAATCGCCGGGCTCCAGCGCGGCATCCCCGCCGCTTGGCCGCAGCTCGCCCAGGCGATAGCCCAGGTGTGTGGCTGTCATGGAGATAAAAGAGGCTTAATTAAGACCCAATAAGCTAAGTGATTTGTTATCTTGGTGCAATATATTACTCCAGCCTATCGATCCCAGAAATGCACATGTGTCCGAGGGCCTCTGACAAGGCTCCATCCCTCCCCGGCGAATACATGCCCGGCTCGCCAGCCCCGGCTGCTTGCTGCAGGCAGGGGTCAGGGGCAGCATCTCATTGCTTGTGTACGCACAGAAATATCAGGATTTGCTTCTCCCCAAGGAAGAAACATGGTGATGCTCAGCTTTGCCTGAAGCCCAGCACCAGCAGTGAGCATGGCACGAGAGCTTGGTGTGCTGGGACAAGGGTTTTATGCCTTGCCCTTGTGGAAACTCCAGCAGCCTTGGAGGCTTCTCTTGAAAGCTCCTCTACTTTTCTGCTCCCAAAGCTGACCTGTGCCGTGTGTATTAAAGGGAAATGGCCACCACACCACGAGCCCTCCTAAATCTGCTCGAAGCTGAGCTTAAGGATAACATTCCCTGGTGGTACCACTTGCAAGTCTGTGTTACCTGCAAGCAGCAGGGCCACATCGGGACCGTCCTGTTCAGCATTACCTTGGCAGCTACTCAGGAAGGGTGGGTGGGACAGACACTGGAGCAGGAGCAGGTCTGGAAAGTGAGAAAAAAGCCAGTTTCCATAAACCAGCCAGAGGTTGTGTCCCTGTCCCCAGCAGGCTGATGTCCCCCGAGCACTCGTGACCGTGGCATTTCAAACCAGCCAGCACTGTGCTTCCCCCGAGCTCCCAAAATGCTCCCTTCCCAGCCGAAATCAAACCATTTATTTTTCAAAACTTTCAGGCAGGGGAGTGAGGGGGAGAGGGAGGGGAAACCAATTCATTTAACATTCAAAATGTTAAACCGCTCAAGAAGTTCTTTGATCTTTTGAGGTTTTGCTGCAAAGGGAACACCCTTTCCCCATTGGTTTACTGAGTCACGCTTATTACTTCAATGCAGAAATATCCTTTATGTCAAGTGTATAAATATCCAGCTCTAAGCCTCAGAAGCCTTTTCCTTTTTCCCTTTTTGTGTCTGTCTGTTTTTCTCTTTCTTTTTTTTTGCAGAAGCAAGTTTCATTCTCTCCTGGAGCTGCCTGCACTCTCTCGCAGTCGCGGTGCATCCAGGGCTCCCCAGCAGGAAAGCTGGGTGCTGTGCGGGGGTGCCCTGCTCCCTGGGGAGCCCCCTGCCTGGTGCCATCCTCCCCAAACCTCCCAAAGCAAGGTAACAGGCTCCACGCAGCCCTGGGAAAGCAGACAGAAGGCAGGAGCGTGGAAAACAGTCGAAGATGGTAGAAGAGATTCGCAACGCAGCCGTGTTTCCTAGGAGGATCCCGGCACGCCCCTATTCACCAGGACGTGCATCTGCTGCGAGATGCTGCCTGCCCCCCCCAAATTCCGAGGAACGGTCGTAAAAAAGGGGCGTAAGCCCGCCGAGCCCCAGCTCTCCCACGTTTTCTGCCCGCACCGCTGGCAGCACCGGGCTGCGGCTGGGGTTCAAAGTGGCCACAGGTGCCGAGGAAGGCCCCCGGGGCAGAGCCGTGGCTGGCACGCGATGCCTTCAGCGCCCACGCGCCCGCCACCCGGACCTCCCGCAGCGGGGTCTGGAGCCAGGCTGCGGCTGCGCCTCCCCGGCCGCCCCGCGACTTGGCCTAGAGCTACGTCTGCCAAGGCCTTGCCTGTGCAAACAGCGGCGGTGGCGGGGCGAGCCGGGGCTTGAGGAGCGGCACTGGGGATGCAAAAATGCAGCCTGGTCCCCTCCCCAGAGCACCAGCCCCTGAGCTCCTGGGGTTGGGGGTCTGCGCTCCCCCCGATGCTGGGCTGAGCCATGGGGAGGGGGCCGGCACCCACCTGCCTTCTTTTGGCTTCCCGAGAGAGATGTCCAACACCAACAGGAGTGGGTTGGGCCATTAGGGTGCTGTGGGACATGTCAAATAATAAGTACGTGAAGTCGTGCCAAAACTTAGCAGGCCTGAATTTGCTTCACCAGCAAGGAAAGCCCCCAACAGGCAGCAAATCCCAGCCCTCAGCACCCAGCCAGGTGAAGCTGAGACCTTCCCAATGGCATCCCCAAAAAGGGACAGCTTTCCCACCTGGGCAGGCCAAGAGGGAGGCTTGGCTGCTACAGCTCAGTCAGGGATGTGCATTCACTGCCCGGGCACCACACGTCAGCACAGTAGAAATGCCCTCCCAAACATCAGTCCTCGTGCTGCTCGTGGCAATCCCGAGCCCTGGGAGCATCCCCAGCCCCTCACCCATCCCTGCCCATGCTGCTCATGCCCTCTGAATGGACCAAAATTGGGCAAAACCTCCGGGCTTTGCGCTCCCCAGCTGGGGCTGCCGGGGCTCCCAGACATCCCCATCACCGTGCCGGTGTTCGCTCTCATCCCGGCGCAGCGGCGGGCGCGTGCTTTCCTTTTTTTCCTTGCCTTCTCCCCATGAAGGAGGTCACACCCTCCGATTACCTAACAGCAGCCGGCTCTCGGCAAAGCAAACAAACTTGACATTCACATAACCTGCCGCGCTCTCTCCGGCAGGGATTATTAAGTCATTAGAGTCTGTTAGCAAATTTTCCCAAATACCTTTTGCTTCTTCCCAGGGGCACCTTGATGGTTAATGATCCCAAACTGCTGGCTGGGCTGAAATTCACCCACCCCAGTCCAGCGACCTGCTCCAGCCGTCTCCCCAGAGCTGGGGAGGGGGCATTTGGGGGCTACCCCCAAGGACATCCCCCCCTCCATGAGGATGCTCAGCTCCGAGGACCCCCCCAAGCAGCAGAGAGCAGCCCAAGCGAGGGGAGGGGTGGATGCAGCAGCCCAGGGAGGGCAGGGGAAGGAGAGAGGAGCCCCCCCAAGGAGGGAGGTGACCCCCATCCTCCCTCGGTAACACACACCCGCTTTTCTCCTTCGCTGAGCTGGCAGCCCAGGGCGATATTTCTAACAGGCAAGTGTATTGCCTAACTGGAGACAGAATAAAAAATAATCATAAAAAACCAGTCAGGCAGGCCAGTTCAGTGGAGAGGAGATAGGTTTCACCCACCTGCAGCTGACTTGCCCTCTCGTTCTCAGGCTGAACAGCGTGTACATCAACAGCCTGATGATATGCAGTTTGGTAACACACGGCAGCGTGCCGGCCGTGCCCTTCCCCGGGCCCTACAGCCCTGAGAACGAGCAGCCCTGACCTGAAACCCACCGCTGGGTTTTGCAGCAGGGATTTGCACCCCAGAGGAGGAGGATTCCCCCAGGAGAGGGGCTGCGTCCCCCCGTCCAGCCACCTGCACTTGGCACGGTGCTGCGGGAGGCGAGGAGCTCGCGGGTATTGCCGGCATCTGCTGCTGGGGAGGCTCTGCCAGCACACACCGAGGTTTCTGCAGCCCAGGGGCTTGGCAAGAGGGAGCCAGGAGCTGGGGAGCAGCCGGTGCCCAGGGGCTCGCATGGCACAGCTTGTGTCTCCGTCTCACCCACCTCCCGGGTTTTACCTCTGCTGTAGAAGCGAGCTCTGAAGGAAAGACCCTGGCCTTCCCATCTTTTAGCCCCATGACTTTGAAAGCAATCCTGCACCTTTAAAAGGATCCGAGATCGATTCGATAATTACGAAACCTTCATCTATTGCTATCGATATCAGTAAAACCAGCAATAACAATAAACCAAGCGCTACCAGACAGCACCTTCGGGTAGCTCTGTGCAGAAGCACGCTTTGTTTGGCTGAGCCACAGGCGAGCACCGCGCACTCCCCATGAAACCTGCAGCCTCCAGAGCCTTCCAGCAGCCCCAGCGAGGCTGTGATTTCCACCCCGAGCCATCGCTCTTTTTGCTGCCCCAGAGACCCACGTATGAGCAGTATTTTTCAGGAGGGAGTCGCCCAGGTATGACGGATGCTAGGTGCGGTGTGCGCAGTAACCCCGTCCCCGCATTCCTCGAGCTGCCTGCAGCCACGGGGGGGAACACCCACACCCACCCGTCCCAC